TATATAAAATATAGAATTTATTTCACTCGTAATTTATGAATATCAGGAAGCATTCTTCCTTAGGCACATTAAAACATCTGATTATAAGTAATTCCAGGGAAACGAGGCAGGATTAATTTGGGTATCGTATACCCTAAAAATGTGTAATTAAAATTTCACACCGCAGCTAATCACATTTTCGCGAGATTATTTAATCTTTGTCAAAGTTGCCACTCTTGACTCAGCAATACCTCTGTGTCATAGTTCATCACCCAGAAGAAGCAATTTGTACCTTATATCCTTTAACTTCGACACCCCTCTTGCAATACTCCGTCGCCCACGCAACGTCTTCGAACCCTTCTCAAAAGACAAATGCGGTTTCTCTGTTCACGTCCTTGCCCTGCTTTCCCCAGGCATCCACTTTTGCCTTCGTTTACAAAAAAACAGGTTCATTTTACGTTCTCACCAAGTCACCCCTACGGATCTATCTATCTACTGTGCTTCCGTCACACAACGTTTCTGGTATTACTTTTCAAGGGGTGGAAGTCATCCTCAGAAGTTAGAAGTGGAAGTTATCCTTAGAAGTTGATCCTTGAATGACCAAATTTTTTGTTTTGTTTTGAAAATTTTTTATTTGCAGTGGTCACTAAATTATAGTATTCTTTAGTGGGAAGTATGCACTCATCGATGACAAAATTATTTTTTTTTTTAAATTTGTTATTTACAGTCGACACTAAATTATAGTATTTTTTAGTGAGAAGTATGCACTCATTAGTGACCAAATTATTTTTTTTCCAAAAAAAAAAAGAAGAAATTGCGAAATTTAATTTTAGTAAAAATTGATAACCATGAATAAAAAATTAATTTGTATATTAAACTAATACATATATAATAGTATTTCCTATAGATGGAAGTTTAGGAAATTCGAATTTTGTATTCGTGAAAATTCTAATTAAAAAAGAGAAATTGGGTAATTTAATTTGAGTAGAAATTTCACTATGAATAAGAAATTAATTTGTGCGTTAAACTAACATATATATTATAGTATTTCCTATAGATGGAAGTTTGGGAAATTCGATTTTTGAATTCTTAAAAATTCTAATGAAAAAAATTGAGCAATGTAATTTTATACAATACAATTTTATGTAATACAAATTCGACCATTAATTAACAAAATTGATCTGCATATTAACCCTTCGTCTTGTTTCTACGTAAATTGACCTGTAACAATGATCAAACCGAGCAATTTCTGTCACCAAACAACTAATCCATTAGACATACCTATTTAACCCTTTCAACACACCGCAAAGTGTTATAATCGAGAGCATACATTCCGTATATACACAGTCTGGTCGATTCGCAACTGCATGTAATTATCCACCGAACATTTTCCAACTGAATTCTTGCAATTCTTGTTAAATGTCAGCTAAAAATTAATATCGTTTCGTGGTTGGTTCAATTATTCCGAAACAATTTCGTGGAATAACGTAACCTGTGGGATACGTCATTGGACGCCCACGCACACTATACCGAATACGTGGCTAGATTTGGTGTAACCGTTCATTTTAGGCGATTTCTAATTGTAGAAAAATAATGATATTCTCGAAAGAACAATATCGCGAATTTTACGTAAATTTTATCATCTTTCGAATAATTTATCCTACCAACTAATTAACTTTATTCAATAATTAACTAACGATACTTATCTTACTAACTATGAATCATTTATTTTATTTTTCTACGTGCAACATAGCCGAACAATTTTTTTTTTTATTCGAATGTACAGTAGAGTTTCGATTATCCGAGGTGATGTGGACCGAGCCTACCTCGGATAATAGGGAAGGATCGATGGGTGTTGACAAGTCGCGCAAGAAAATCATAAAAAACATTTTGACAATGTAAAATTGTACATGTATTTAGGTTTAATTAACTGTTTATCAATTAAATAATAATATTGTACAGGTGTTTAAGTTTAATTCACTGTTTATTAAATAGTTAATGTGAAAATGTTTTTTATGATTTTATTGCACGATTTACGAACACCCATCGACCCTAAAAGATAATGTCATTTTTTCATTTTGTTTAAGTTCAAAGCACTTCGGATAATACGGAATCTCGGTGTTCGGTCTTCACAGGCACGGTTTATGGCACGATCGAACGGCAACGGTTGTGTTTGAGTTCAAGATTTTCGTTTACTGCTTGCACGTGTCTAATTACACCCTGTTGTTGAATTGCTTGTTGGATTTTTAGTCATTTCTGTCCCTCGCGCTCAATAGACTAAGAACATGCCATAAACCACGAATTTCCGAACGGCACATCTACCTGCAACGGTACGCTTGCCTTAGTCATTTCTGTCCCTCGCGCTCAATAGCCTAAGAACATGCCATAAACCACGAACTTCCGAACGGCACATCTGCGTGTAACGGTACGCTTGCCGATTAGTCACCCGGAGGAAATTCCAGCTTTTTGGGACTTTCCGCCCACCCCACGCGGCCGTCTCCCACCCTTCCAAGGTGACAGCGCGCTAAGGGCGCACTGGAAGGGCGGTAAAGACGATATTAGACACTTAGACACCCTGATTGGTAAATGTAATTGTTAACCAATCAGCGTGCTCTAACCAAAAAACTCTCCCACGGACGTCCGAGAGAGGACGTCGAGGGTCAGTCGTCCAACAATCACCAAGGAGCAACCAGCTCAAATTGTAACCACTTCACTAGTCCCAGTATAACTGGGTGGTCCTTCGAGAAGGTTTTGAAATAAAGTTGGTGTTAAGGATACTTAAGTTAGACCAGATTTACGATACGGACGCGACTTTGCTATTTTTGAGATTAAGGTTTGAATACGCGTTTAATGTTTCGTTGTTGTCAGGAGGGCTCCAAACGAATTTGGAGTTTCTTCGTGCATCTCAATGACAATTGACGCATCATAAACCCGTGCGAGCCCAGGCACATAAGCCCAGGTGACGCGTACTTGACGCAAAACACCCTCTCCTCGAGGGTGAGTGGTTGGCGTTGGGCGGTGACCAAGGCCCAAACTTGAGTGGGAGTCTTGGCCTTCCACCCAAAACTCACCCCCGTCAGGGGACTCAAACGCGACATTTGGAAGGGAAAATGCGAGGGCTGTACGGGGCAAAGCGCCAACGAGACGGACAGAACAAATTGAAAGTTAAAAGCAAAAAGTTCAGGCGATCACACAGTCGCTACATCGTCCATCGATTCTCGACGACGTGTCAGAATTGAACAGTTGGCCCACCACGTGCAAGTACAAACAAAGCTCGAAAGTTCATTTTTGCAACAATCACGGGCAATAGCACTCGGTTAAACGGGACTCGGATAACCGAGACTCCACTCTATGTAAAACGTAACATTCAAAAGTGGAGGATTTCTTTCTACGGTTCAATTTCATTAAGCTGGCAGCATGTTTAACAAAATCTCCGGTACGAAGCGTTGTAAAAAGAGAAACACGTGGTTTATCCATTTGCCGCGATGGCTGCAGTAATGTGGGATTTTGTTAAATACTTTT